GTGGGTTTGAGTTTTGAGTTTTGAGTTTTGAGTTATCTTCATCTCCGGTGCACGAGCTCCCGGTGTTCCGACGGTGCGCGCGCGCGCGTGTGCGTGTGCGTGCAATCGGTTCCAAGCGGGATCGCGATTCGGATCATTAAATCAGGTTTAGTCATCTCGATTCGGATGATTAAGTTATGTTTAAAAGATTCGGTGGATTCATTCATTCATTCATTGCTTGGTTCGGGAAATTATTCGGATGTTTTGCACACATGGTTGCACTAATGCGCGTTGGTTTCATTCATACAATCACGGATTTTGTGTTGCATTTGTTGAATGTTTGTGGTTGTTTTGGAGAACAGTTTACACTACAGGTCTCATTTTAGTCTCTTACTTATTTTTTTACACAAATAACAAGGTACTATTCACTTTAATCGGTAGGGTTGCTTGCAATCACACATTATTAGGCTACAATAACACTTGATTTTGATTTAAAAAACATGATTTCAGCCAAAAAGCTGAAAAATACGCATTGTATAGAGAATATAGCATATGCTAATTTGCATCTCTTCTTTGGTTAACACTTTTAACTAATACAATATACACATGGCATTCATATACTTATACACACCTAATAATAGAGAGGAAAACGCTATTGGTCACTATATAATGGTAAATGGACTGCATTTATATAGCGCTTTATAGTTTGTTTTATATTTATATAATAGTTTGTATTGTAACAACATGGACAATGTGAAGTGTTACTTCAGTTTTCTTAAAGTAAAAACAAAAATGTCAGTATTTGAATTATTGAGCGTGAAAACTTTTAAGGTCATAAATGTGTTTTTGTGGGTCTAAAGTAAAAGCAGGTGTGTGTGTGTGTGTGTGTGAGAGAAGATGCTGTTGTTTCATGCCTGGACATCTGTGCAAAAACACAAGAACCAAAAACCAGACATAAAGCTGCTCTTGAACCATTTCTCTGTGTGTTGTGAGTGTGTGTGTGTGTGTGTGTGTGTGTGTGTGTGTGTGTGTGTGTGTTGGAGGTATTTCTCTAGTTGAGTCATTGACCAGCCCTTAAATTCCACTTTACAGTGAGTGGACTTTAGTCGCTAGTGATTGTACTGTGAGTTGCATAATGTTCCATTTGTTCTATTGCTGTTTATGCATATTAAAAATAAACTCAGACGTGATTCTTGGTTTCTGTGTTTTGCTCGGAGAAACGAGAGTGATGTAAGTGATTGCAAGCTCTGGTCGCTCTCATGTCTCTCGTGTGTTTGTAAACTCAGTGTCCAGAACCGTGAATCTGAGGAGGGATTTTACAGCCTCGCCCGAGAGAGTGTGTGTGTGTGTGTGTGTGTGTGTGTGTGTGTGTGTGTGTGTGTGAGCGGGTCGTATTCAGCTGTAGATGTGGACAAAAGACACATTGACATAGAGCAGTGTGTGTAGCATCATTTGTTAAAGGGGTCATGAATTCAGAAATCTAATTTTCCTTGAACTTTTGACATATAAGAGGTCATTGTACTATAAAAATACTCAAAACTTCATTGTTAGTCTATAACAAAATGACTCGTTTTGGATTTTGTCACATTATGATGTAAGGAAAATCCACGCCTACTTCTACATCATCGCCTCTTTAGCCCCGCCCACTTATTCACACATGTGTTAGTAAATATGAGAGAGATGCAAAGATTACTCCAGCAAACAAAACCATAGAGGATTACAAGACGTTTGAAGTGGCAAGTTGTGGAAAAACACGATCTTTGCATTGCCTTCCTGGACGACACTTCATTCGTTCGCTTCATTTTACTGTGGATTGAAAACCTTATCAGTTTATTATACAGTTTTCATAAGCTGTAAGCCATAATCATCAAAATTATAACAAACAAAGGCTTGAAATATCTCACTTTGCAGTTTGCATGTAATGAGTCTATATAATATATTAGTTTCACCTTTTAAGTTGAATTACTGAAATAAATGAACTTTTGCACGATACTCTCATTTTTCGAGTTTCACCTGTACATTGATTCTTATTAAAACTACTTAAAGTTATTCGGTCAAGAGCAGTGACTGATTTTGTCTTGAACATTAATGACAGACAGCATATTTGACAACAGAACCGGAAGACAATACAATGCTGAATAAAGTCGTTATTTTTGGAGCAAAATGTATTTTCGATGCTTCAACACACACTAACTAACCCACTGATGTCACATGGACTACTTTGATGATGTCTTTATTTCCTTTCTGGACAAGGACAGTATACCGTACACACATTTACAATGGAGGGACAGAAAGCTCTCGGACTAAATTACTCTCCTAACATTATTACGAGAACATAAAAGATAAAATCTCTCCGATACACTTGGAAAAGTAGATGGACGGATTGAAGATTGATCGCAATATAAAATCGTAATAATGATGCACATGGATAAATCATTTAGAATAAATGCTGCAATATTCCATTTAAAGATAACATAAGAATTGTTAGTTTTGGTTTCATGGGCCTGAACTCATTTTAACCAGACGGTCATCCAGAGAGGGCATTTTGTGTGTCTTACGTTGGTGTGTGTTTTGGGTGTGTTGCGATAATCTATCTTGCTCCGCTGTGACGCCTGCGAGTCGGTCTACATCACACACACACACACACAGAGGTCAGGTCAGATGGCTGGCGAACACCCAGCGTTTAGATCTGTGGAAAGGTCACTGACCTCTGGCTACATCCAAAAACACATCCGTTCGCACAGACGCCACACAAACACACATTACCACACCTCAATTTAGACAGTTTCCTAGTTAATTAAATATAAATAATTTACTGAAGATGTTTACTTGCCTAACAACAACACATGAATTTACACAGAGTTCAAAATTAGCACTGATCAAGATTCTTCTTTTTTCTTGTTTAGATGCTTTAATTTGACATTGTGCTGGTTGTTTGTGTGTTAAAACCCTAATTGTATCTTTAAATTGATCGGTTTATGAACCGCTTCCGGCTCATGGGACCTTATTTTGGAAAACATATGTATGGTAGTCAATGGCGAGAGACAACTTATCTTTTTATTCCGTCTGAACTGTGCCCTGAATTACACATATGATGTTTGTCAATTTAAAAGATAATTATGAAAGTCAAGAAAGTCGCAGTTTGTCATAAAACAGAAGAGTAACATTTAGTTTTATGTGAAAATCGCTCAATGAACTACATCTCCCGGGAAGCGAAACACCGAGCGAGATCCGCTGCTGGTGTGTGTGCAGTCTGGTACCAAACACTCGATGACGGCGTAACGTTACGATTATAACGCAAGACTATAGAAACAATGACAGACGTTAGCTTCAGTAAAGTTAGCTTCAGTAAAGTTAGCTTCAGTAAAGTTAGCTTCAGTAAAGTTAGCTTCAGTAAAGTTAGCTTCAGTAAAGTTAGCGCATCAGTAAAGTTAGCATCAGTAAAGTTAGCTTCAGTAATGTTAGGTTCAGTAAAGTTAGCTTCAGTAAAGTTAGCGCTTCAGTAAAGTTAGCATCAGTAAAGTTAGCTTCAGTAATGTTAGGTTCAGTAAAGTTAGCTTCAGTAATGTTAGCTTCAGTAAAGTTAGCGCTTCAGTAAAGTTAGCTTCAGTAAAGTTAGCTTCAGTAAAGTTAGCTTCAGTAATGTTAGCTTCAGTAAAGTTAGCATCAGTAAAGTTAGCTTCAGTAAAGTTAGCATCAGTAAAGTTAGCTTCAGTAAAGTTAGCTTCAGTAAAGTTAGCATCAGTAAAGTTAGCTTCAGTAAAGTTAGCATCAGTAAAGTTAGCGCTTCAGTAAAGTTAGCTTCAGTAAAGTTAGCTTCAGTAATGTTAGCTTCAGTAAAGTTAGCGCTTCAGTAAAGTTAGCTTCAGTAAAGTTAGCTTCAGTAAAGTTAGCTTCAGTAATGTTAGCTTCAGTAAAGTTAGCATCAGTAAAGTTAGCTTCAGTAAAGTTAGCATCAGTAAAGTTAGCATCAGTAAAGTTAGCATCAGTAAAGTTAGCTTCAGTAAAGTTAGCATCAGTAAAGTTAGCTTCAGTAAAGTCAGCTTCAGTAAAGTTAGCATCAGTAAAGTTAGCTTCAGTAAAGTTAGCATCAGTAAAGTTAGCTTCAGTAAAGTTAGCATCAGTAAAGTTAGCATCAGTAAAGTTAGCTTCAGTAAAGTTAGCTTCAGTAAAGTTAGCTTCATTCATTGAGAGAAAATGTGCGCCTTTGGGGTTTGTAGTCTTTGTAATTACGTATTTTCACAGTCTTATACCTCAACAGTTTTACATCAAACTGCGACTTTCTTGACTTTAAAATGTATCTTTTAAATTGACAAACATCATATGTGTAATTCAGGGCACAATTCAAACGAGATCAAAATATTTGTCGTCTCTCGCCATTGACTACCACACAATATTTTTCCGAAATAAGGTCCCATGGTGGTCGACCGGAAGGGGAGGGACTTAGGCTCTCTATTGGCCCTGTGCTGTGGGATGTGTGTTTATGATTGGCTGATGTGGATGAGAGCCATTAGCACACATTGGCTGAACTGAAAGTGTCTCTCTGTGACTCGGTGCACTCAGCCAAATGAGTTTGATACACCAGATCTGTCAGGAAAATTGAGAAGAATTGCCAAGCCGGTGTCTGAGTGCACCGGATCCAGCTAATGGGCTTCCAGAGACCGATAAAACAGACCTTTAAGAGTGTGTCCTGCAATCACTGCACATTTACATCATACAAAAGATTAGGTCTGTGGGACGTTTTGAGATGTAAACGATTGCTCACAACTCATCCGATCCAAAAAGAGCCAGAAAAATCCTGTTCTCGTGATCTTACATGACTGATGTGGGTTGAGATCATCGATTCATTCAGTCAAACTCTCACTGTCGCGTGACGTAATGCTGTTTGCTGTCCTCCAACAGCGTCAGTCTCTGTTGAACTTCCGAAAACAAGAGTGATTTTATCTGCAGCCGGTGAGAGAATGTGATGTTTTCAGTCTATGAGTCAGGACGAAAACACTCGCAAAACATGCACTTATCAG